TCGTACTAACTTTTTGCATAGCACATTTTACTCCCTCTTTTCCGGTGACAGATCCATTAATTTGGAAATTCTTGCAAAAATTAAATAATTATCGAATTTTATTGAAATTTTCAGCACTTACTCACAAATAAATGAAATGATTTTTTAAAGTTTTCATAAGTAAATCTTGGTAAAAATATTTTATTTTTACATGTTACTTAATTTTATGAAAACTTGTGAAATTTAACGTGATAACTTTTACTGATTATATTATATAAAAGCAGAATGTTTTGAAGAATTTATATCATCGAATATTTGTTTTGCAAAATCAGATCCAGTCTTGCAAAAATGTGTTCTGAATCGAAAAATTAAAAAAAATGCAATAAAACTAAGATATTATTTAATTAGAGAAGCTTTAACTGCTTTTTATGAATAATATATATTAAAGACAATATTGTCTGCCGAAAAAAAAAATTTCGATTAAAAATGAAATTTTTCAAATTTATTTTGAATTTTTACAATTTTAATCTTTGAAAATTCAGTTTCAATGTGGTAATTCTTAGGAAATATTGTTATTAAATAAAAAATATATTTACTGGTCATATATTGTAAAACCTATTACAATCTGACGAGCCCGAATATTTTAAAAATAATTTCGATTTGTTTTTGTATGTGTGATATACGTGCAGAATATATAAGTTTGAATGTTCAAACCTATAACGTTATCATTAAAAGTTCACGTGTTTTAAGAGATATCCCACCTTACGGGGAAAAAAAACCAACCTTGACAGACTTTATCGTCTGCTCCACCATACTTAACTATGAACACGTTCGGCGATCATTCGCCTGTTAATAAATCAGAAAAAAAAGACCCCGTGGTTAAGGAATGCTTAACTTCAAATTTGTTAATTTTCCTTAAATAAAATTTCAAAAATATATATTGTATTTTTGCAAGATTTTTAGAATTATCTTTCGTTTAGAAAATGGCCGTTTTTATCGATTTTAATGAAAATAAATCGATTCTGATCAATATAATTTCTGTTTGAAATACAGAGTATTTTGCTTACTGGAAATTTTAAATCCTTTAGCTTTCAATTAAAGCTAAAATGAAAGCTTCAAGAAACAAATAATTGCAATGTGCAAACGTGTCGAAACCCAAAAATGCCTACAGAGAAAAGAAAAATAAATGTGCGATTTTAATTTTTATGATAACCAGTCGTTTTCTAATAAGGGAAAATTCCGTATTCATTTACTAGACAGTTAATATTATTGCCAGTTGAAATTCATAAAACTTTTTCTCTGAAACATTTTTTAGGGAAACAGTTTTTTTTTTTAGGGATATAGTCTTTTATAAGCAACTAGATTTTTTTAGTGAAGTACTTTTTTTAGGGAAATAGATTTGTTTAGGAATATAGTCTTTTCTAAGCAACTAGATGTTTTTTAGAGAAGTAAATTTTTTAGGGAAATAGATTTGTTTATGGAAGCAAATTTCTAACATCCAATGTTATCAATCTTTCTATCTTTGGTGTAAGTTTTTTTTTATTTCTAACCTTTTGTTTAAATTAGTTTTGGAAAGTCAACATCTTCATTATGCCATTATTTTCCCTTCTAGTATGGATCTGTTATTGCTGCTGTTGGAAGTCTTTAAGTCATATAGTTTAGTTTTCATTTGGTAAAGTTGTTTGGGATTCTGTAGCGTCAGTCTGATGAAGGACTGTCATCTTTAAAAACTAAGATTCATTCGCTGGAAGCTATTTTAAATCAATGACCTGAAAAAAAAAAAAAAAAAACGACTGTATATGATTTTGAGCTTGGTGGACGCCATGCATGACAATCAAATGATAGTCTAGATTAGAAAAATTGAATTAAGCAGTCATGATCCTATCTTGCAGTAAAAACTACGCTACATATTTTAATTGTCACATAAATGAATCGTTTCACACCCGCAGTGTAGCAGTAGTTTCCAGATTACCCGCTTTCGTTTTTTTTTTTTTTCACAGAATCCTCTTAAATTAGAAATTCTTAAGATAGGCGTGAGTTTGAGATTGTTCAATGTTTTTTTTACTATCAGGTCATCCCATAAGTTCTGTCCGAATTTTGAATAAAGAAAACAAGTGACTAAATGTTACATTTAATTAGAGATTCAATCAACAATGTATTTTCCCTGATTATCTATGACTTCCTTCCATCTATTAACAAGTTTACTAATTCCATTACTATATAATTCTTTTGGCTTTGATTCGAAGAACTCACAAATGTCAGTTTTAACCTCTTACTGTGTTACAAAAGCTGTTTCTTTCAAATGATTCTGTAAGCTAATAAACAAATGGTAGTCTGAAGGAGCAAGATCGGGAGAATAAGGTGGATGAGGAATTTTCTCCCAACCAAGTTCTTCGATCATTTGTGACGTGATTCTTGCTGTGTGGGGACGCGCATTGTCCTGATGAAACATCACCTCTTTTCGATTCACTAGAGCAGGTCTTTTTTTCCTCAAAGCTTGGTTCAAACGCTCTAATTACTGACAGTATATTTGAGCGTTAATTGTTGCATTAGGTGGTAAGAATTCAAAGTGGATTATTCATTGGCGATCCCACCAGATTGATAGAAGAACCTTTGTCTATGAAGTTCCCTTCTCGGCTGTGGCTGGGGTCCTTCCCCTTTACCAAGCCACTGTCTACTACGCTTAACATTTCGATAAAAGATCCATTTTTCGTCGCCAGTCATAAGTCTATCCAAAAAAGGTGAAACAAGTTGGTGAGAATGGAGAGAAGAGCAGATGTCAACTCGGGATTTGAGGTTGTTTTCAGACAATTCATGAGGCACCCATTTTCCAAGTTTAGGAACTTTTCCAAGTTGTTGAAGATGACGATGAACAGTTGTATGGTTTAAACTGAGAACCACTGCCAATTCCTCAACTGATAAAGCAGGATTTTCTTCAAGGGCTGCTTCAAGAAGCTTTTCATCAAACTCAATTGGACGTCCGGTTCGATCTTCATCTTCAAGGGTGAAATCTCCACCTCTGAATTTTGAAAACCATCTTCTGCAAGTTCTTTCATTCACACATTCCTCTCCATAAACTGAGTGAATGTTTCTAGCCGCTTCGGCTGCTGAGTTTCCTTTCTTGAACTCATAAAGCATTATGTGCCTCAAATGATTCTTGGGTACTTCCATGTTAGCAGGGTTTTAATCAAACAAAATTTAATTTTATTGTTCTCTGAAATAAAATTTGATCAGTTTAAATGCATCTAAACATAAAAATAATGTTCAGCTCCATTAGACATTATAAAATACTCTTTAAATTTCGTTCATTTTAACAAAAAGTTAAAATTCAGACAGAACTTATGGGATGACCTGATAGTATCTACCCCAATGTAAGAAACTATGCTTTTAAATTAAGTCTGTCAATTACAATAGAATGGGAAAAAATTAAATAATGGCAATAGTCATAAAAAAGGTGTCTGTCATCGACTCAATTCGAACGATCCTTTCGTTAGCTGCATAGTATGTGCTTCGGCCTGGGCTACATACATTTTTGAATTGAGTTTTTCTTCTCCTAGACCTGTTGATATCCAAGGCTATAAAACCCAGCCTGTCCTGTTATTTACACATAACTTAGAAGAGATGGTATAAGAACGTAAGTAAATGTAATGAACTCAGCTAGAATTCGATCTCTTCAATCCGAGCCGCAATCCATTATTCTGCCGTGCCTCCTAATCAAGCAATAGTCATACACTAGTATAAATACTGAGCAGTGAATATTTTATTGTGCGTAGTTTTATTTATTAAGCAATAGTATAAACCGAGCTATTATATTACATATCACTATTTGATATCTATGAATTTCAAATTGGTGTACCACTGTGAAGAGGAGCATATTTTTTTTGATCATTTCACGACAAGCAAGATTATAAAGCCACTAAGACGCAATGGCTTACTGAGTGTGAGAGAATATGCGAAAAAAGAAAATATTAAGGAGAGAGAACAACAAAAGATGAGGAATTAAGAAAGCAGAATATAACACTTGAGATTGTACTGACGTTTTTGAAGATTAAAGTTCACAGGAAAGTAAGAATCCGGAAGAGAGTTCCATAAGCGAGAGGTACGTGAGAAGAAACTGTTAGCATAGAACTTACGGTTACATTTCGCCATTTCAAATTTGAAATGATGAGATCTTGCCGCCAATCTAATAATACGTTTAAATTCATAACAATCTAAGTACCAAAGATGAAAGCTCATCAGAACAATTACCATGAAAATATTTAAAGAAAAGACACAAGGAATCGACATTACGGCGGTGGTAAAGTAACTGAAGCTGAGATGCCAGGTTAGAACAAATAACATTGCTGATCCTTCTTTTTTTTTAATAAAGAATCTTTAAATACATTGCAGAAACATCAGAAGAGATGTGATAACAATAGTCAACGTATGGAAAAATGATAGCCTTATAAATGTATAAGATAGAGTCTGGCGAGAAAAAAAGAAAAGAAAAAATAAACAGCGCCCTAGAACGGGGGAAGAAATAGACGTTAATGGAAAAAAAGTAAATAAGAAAAATCACACTGTAAATAAAGATGTCTAAATTACAAGAAACTGATCATGTAACTAATGCAGTTTTTTTTTCTCCTAATGTGAAAACCTTTCAAAAGACATTTCAATTCACTCACCGGACAGTTGGACGCAAGAAATATAGACAGAAATCTAGAAAGCATCAAGTGTTGTCATGTTCGACTTGAACGAACACAAGGAATCCATTTGTCGAGTAATTGGTGCAGTGTCCATGCGATCACAAAATAAAATATTTAACGAGTTTAAGAAAAAGATATTTTTAAGCAAAAAAAAAAAATCATCAGTAGAACAATTGAAGAAAAAAAATCGAAAATATAGAGTACTTAAAAGAGCTTTTTTTTTATAATATTCTATACAAAAGGAAGATATTATTAACAGTCGTATTTTGATACTGAACTGTAAGAAAGAAATGCTATAAACTTGGTCTACATACTACACTTTCGTAACGGCCTTCTGTCATATCACGTTGAAATACCGGTTTTCGTACGATCACCGAAGTCAAGAAACGTCGAGCCTGGTTCATACCAAGATGGGCGACCGCTTGGGAATACCAGGTGTTGTAAGTTTGGATGTGCAGGTGGTGTAATGAACAACAGATCAGAATTGGAAATATGAGAGCCGATTTCCAATTCTAGTTGGGTTTGCTATATTCATTTATGCGCAAATACCCTCGGAAAAGGTATGAATCTATCTCTCCTCCCCCAGCTATTAGTAAGACTTGTATAACTAAATAATTATTATCTCCAAAAAGAAAAAGAAAAAAAGTCTCACAATCTATAAATATTTGCTCGCTTTAAATAACATGCAAAAGGTTGATAAGTCGTATAAAACAAATCAATAGAAATACATTCTCATACGCAGTCCCAGATTTACTATTGTTTTTAGGTGTGCTTAAGTACAGGGCCCCGTTGGACAGGTGGGAGGCATCTTCCTTCCATACTTGTGTAGGCATGTCGGGCCTACCTCCTTTTGGGCCCAGGTAAGAGACCTCATAACTTTACTGGCACAGGGCCTCATTTATCCTGGCGTCCGAAATGGAAATACAATCTGCAGATATGTTTTACCATGTAGGGGTGGAGGGAATAGTGAGTTCGATCATCACTGGGTGACCCATACTTTAGGCCTTGTGCTGCATCTAAGCTAGGCTTAGAAAATCAGTATTTTTCACTACGTAGAGGACTAGATGCGAATATTGAATTCTTGCTTTATTTAGATTCAGACTAATGATTTCATTTATATTATTATCACAAGTTTTCAGCCACTGTGACCACCAGTCTTCTGGTTAACCATCAGAGTATATCAAAATGAACTATTTATTTAATCTACAAGGGATAACCTGTTCTTTTCCCGTCGCCCATATTTAACGATGTCACATCTTTTTAATTTATTTTTTGTGTACTACACAGTTATTGGCACGCATGTTTTCACCAGATTAAGAGACAATAACATATGGAATTAAAGCTTTGTTTCATGAATGTTGTTTCACAGAAATTAGAAGTTCACTTCCCGGGTCGCATAGTACAGACTCGGACTAGAAACAGGCTGAGCCAGAACTGAGCACAAGATATCCCTGGACATGCACAACAAAACGAAAATAATCTACCCTGGTAGACCAAATAAAATGTTCATTTCGATTACCCGGATCAACAGACCTTGAATAAGGCCGGAGATCACAATGTTCGAAACATTGTGGTAATAACAACAAAGATAAAGATATTGTTCGGACTGTAAATAATAATAACTACTCATTCCAGAAATTCTTCCAGAAACATTCTTTAATAAAATAATTTGATATCTGGATCTATAACTATTAAAGAGAAAACTATTCTGATAGTCTATTTTGAGAATAGCAGTTACTGACCATTTCGGACTTATTTTAAGTCTACCATTCATCCATGCTTAGAATATTTATGCTATATATAGTCTGGTGCTTCTGCTATATATTTAGAGATTCTTGATAAAATCCAAAGAAGCATTTGCAATATCAATGGTCTTGAATGGATATCTTGGCAACAGTGACTTTCTCACCTCCGTAATATTAGTTGCCTGTGCCTTTTCTATAAATATTTTTATGGTAATTGTTCTGATGAACTTTCCTTATTTGTAGCTAGAATCTATGAATTTAAGCAGCAAGGGGTCTCATCTTTTTACAACTGAAATGGTTATAGATGTAACCCCGTCAATTCAGTCTAACAGATTTCTTTTCGCGTACCAAAAATGTAGTTGGAAAAAGCAAACGTGATGTCAAATGTAATTGATGATGTCTTAGTAATGTTAAGACGAAATTTAAGGCTGGCAAAACTGTTTCTCGATCATTTTCTTAATGCAACTGTTTGGCGATGTGTCGGTGATAGACTTAATCCCAGTTTAGTTGATGCTGTAAATGAATTTGAAAGTTTGAATGATTTTTATGGATTTTGTGATAAATTGTATTCATTATATAATAAATCTCCTAAGAATCCGGACGTGTTAAGTTCATGCGCTGAAGACTTGCACTGTCAACAGCTAAAATTGGTTGTGTTTTCAGAGTGAAATGGGTTGCTTCATCTTGCCGAAATGTAAATGAAATGTGGCAGTTTTATAAAGCTATTTGGGAGAAGTTTGGAAAAGCAGGTTTTGTTGCTTCAAGGCCTAATGTAGAGAGAGTGTGTGCAGGAGAAAGAGAGATAGATAGATAGATAGATAGATAGATAGATAGATAGAGAGAGAGAGAGAGAGAGAGAGAGAGAGAGAGAGAGATAAAGAGAGAGTGAGCAAATACAAGGAGCTCAAAAGGTATTAGAATTGACAGCTTTCATAAATAATTTGGGTTTGTTTATAGAGAGAAGAGAGAGAAAGAGAGAGAGAGAGAGAGAGAGAGAGAGTCTGTGCGAGTTGTTTGAAATGTCACTTGAACTGCAGAACCGAATTTGTAGGTTTAGTTAAGCATAGGAGGAAATAAACGATTTTTGAATGTCATATAGAGAAACCATTTAAATTTTCTGCTCAGTCCGAGAAAGTACCAAGCCAAATGATATTTCATCATTACTTTACTTGAACACCTCACAAATTGTTTTCCTTAATATTTAGGAAATGACAAGACTTTCCTGATATGTCAATGAAAATACAATTATGAGGTAAGAAAAAGTGCTTCTGGTTTTGTGGCGTGTTTCCAATGGTGTTGAAGCTTGTAAGAAATCTTGCCGAAACTGTGTGTAATGTTCGTGTAACAAGAAGGATTTTTGGTTCATTGACTGAAAATAAAATGAAACATATTTTTGCATATTTGAACTTTTCTTTTTACAATGACGTTCACCCAGTACAAAAACCAAGAGCAATTTGTGGTACAGGGTTACAAAGTAATTTAATTTAAAATTAAAATTTAAACAAACGGAAAACAATTCTTGCGAAAATTTATTATTCATTGAAAGATATATTTTTTATTATGGCAGTAGTGCTATATCTTATTCATAAAAGCAATTAAATCTTTTCTAATTAAATAATGCCTTAGTTTTATCGTATCATTCATTTGACGACTCAGAGGAGATTTTCAGTAACTAGGTGTTCTTTTTTACAAAAGAAAACTAAAATGATTTAAATTCTAAATTAAATTTAAATTAGACTTCTAATATAAGCGTTAAATTTAAATTAGACTTCTAATATAAGCATAAATAAAACAAAATTAAATAAGATGAAATAACTTGTAACAAAAAATATTTTTTCAGGATTTTCTAAAAAAGAAACATTTATAAAATAATTCCATTCATTTGTGAATAAGTCCTGTAAGTTATTTGATTTTCGCAAGAATTTCCAAATCGGCGTCTTTTTGCAGTGAAAAAAAAACATACTAAGATTTCTTATACTAGTCGTTGGTTCCCCCGCTAACGTTAGAAAAACAAAATTTTTAATCAAAGTTAATAAAAAGGATAACAAAATATAATTTTTACATAAAAAATCCTTTGGTCCTTCCTCTAAACAATAACGAATTTGACAATAAAATAACTTAATAATATCGACATTACTGATAAAACTTTGTTCATTTTACAGCGAATTTTTGGCGGCACACACACACACACACACACACACACACACACACACATATATATATATATATATATATATATATATATGTACTTTCATACGAACGCATGTGTGTCCCAGGGCTCTATCCCGAGTCCTACGCTGTTTCCGATCTTCATCAATCATCTCCAGAATGTCATCAGTTACCAACTAGGCATTTATGTAGATGACACTACCATTTACTTCCGTATCAATGTCAAGTTCCGTCAGATCTGTCAAAGTAAAGCTGACAGCTGCTCTTGAGAAGGATCTCGAATCAGTGGTTAATAGGGGCAAGAAATGTATTGTAAATTTTAACGGTTCCAAAACAAAACTGCATTCATTTAAGCACCACAGACAACCTTTACTACCTACCATCTGCATGGCTGAGGTTAGATTCCAGGTGAGCAACGCATTATACCTTCTTTGCCTCAGGTTTTCCACTGACATGAAGTGGAGTGACTATATCGTATTAAGAGCTGCATCTTCTGCAAAGAAATTTGCATCACTGTACCGTGACAGATAATTTTTTCTCGTCAGAATTTATCTTGCGCATTTGTAAATCCACCATTCGTCTGTGCATTGAATATTGTTACCATATTTGGTCTGGCACGCATGATGTGCGTCTAGAGATTTCTGACAAAATTCAAAGAAGGATCTGTAATATAATTGATCCTGACCGGGCATCTCAACTTCAGTCACTTTCTCGCCGACGTGAATTGCCTTCTCTGTATTTTCTACAAATATTTTCATGGCAACTGTCTTAACGCGCTTTTTTTTCCTGATGCCCGATTACACATATTTAAGTGTGCTACTAGATTGGCATTTAGGTCCCACCCTTTTAATGTTGAAATAGCTAAATGCAACTTCTACTCCAAGAGTTTTTTTTTCTCGCACTTCCCGCCTCTGGAACTCCCTTCCATTTCCTTGCATCCTTTCAAAAATTTAAATGTAAAGTGAATTGCCATTTTTGTTTTCTTGAAACCCATTCATCTTTTGTCTTTTCCTCAGTCCTCCCTATTCTCAGTCTTCTTGTTCACTTTCATTCTCCGTAACCCCACTCCGTTGCTAGTGGCATTACCGCATTGTTAGTTTTGTAAAGTTGTAAATATAAAGTATTTGTATGGTTGATTTTCATCTAAAGTTTTCGTTAACTATAAAGTATTAAGAGTGGTTGTTTATGTGACACGTTAATACGTCGATTCGTCAAGCGAGTACAAAGTGTGTTGTCAACCCCAAAGATAATAGTAATTAATAGACGACTGAATGAATCACATTGCAACCTCCTCAATAGGCTTAACATAGGAATGAACACTATCTGGAAGCCTCTGAGTTAGGACTCTCAAAATGTGCTGTATCTTACTACAGCTATTAGGTTTCAAACTCTAAAGTTACACAATTAGAGTGTGCAAGATACACATGACGTAGAAGATTAAAATTAATTAAATAAAAAAATTAGTTGTGAATTCAATTCCGGGATCGAGTAATGCAGACAAAGTCATATATTTTGCTTTAGTGGAAGAAACGGACAAGCGACACTAAGACTGGAGATTATTAAATAATACGAATAAAGACATCAGTTCAAAATTAATAAATGTTCCCGAATATAACAGACACCTGAAGAAGGCCGGAGCTTACTTACATCCGAAACAACTTGCGCAGAACAACCAAGTTGCATATTTTTTTAAAATGAAATGCCGCTTATAGATGGACGTGATCATGACACCCCAGAGGTTCTTTTTTCTTTATTATCTGTAAATTGTCATGGATTCTTGGGGAAAGATAGTGGAGTGGTTTCTCATTGCTCTCTCTTAAGTTTGAAATTCAGAGTTTTCCATATCCCTTCAGGATGTAGGCGATCATAAGTATCCACAACTTCCTTTTCTTTATTATATTTGAATTGCCTTGCATTTGGGGAAAATATAGTGAAGTGATTCCCCGTTGCCTTCTCCTCGGTCTGGAATTAAACAATTTTCCTTCTTCTAGATTCTTGCTTCCCTGTAAACTTGATCTTCAAAAGTTAAAATGCAATTGTCAATCGTTATTCTTCTGTTTTCGTAATTCCTATTTATTGTTACTCTCTCCTTAATAATCAGTTTTCTACTGTTCACTAACATTCAGTAACCCCTTGCATCAGAGTGGCTTTATTGCCTTGCTTGGGGAGTGGGGTGGTGAGATGATTAAATAAATATCAGAAACATATCAAAGGTTTGAACAAAATAAATAATATGCAGTAACTGCAAAGCCCCGTGTAAAAACTCAAACCCAAAAAATGGAAAAAATAAAAGAATATTCAGTGTCTAACTGAATATTCCTTTATTCTTTTCATTTTTGGGGTTTAAGTTTTTAAGTGCATATAGATATATATATATATATATATATCAGGTAATCCCATAAGTTCTGTCCGAATTTTAACTTTTTGTTAAAATGAACGAAATTTAAAGAGTATTTTATAATGTCTAATGGAGCTGAACATTATTTTCATGTTTAGATGCATTTAAACTGATCAAATTTTATTTCAGAGAACAATAAAATTAAATTTTGTTTGATTAAAACCCTGCTAACATGGAAGTACCCAAGAATCATTTCAGGCACATAATGATTTATGAGTTCAAGAAAGGAAACTCAGCAGCCGAAGCGGCTAGAAACATTCACTCAGTTTATGGAGAGGAATGTGTGGATGAAAGAACTTGCAGAAGATGGTTTTCAAAATTCAGAGGTGGAGATTTCACCCTTGAAGATGAAGATCGAACCGGACGTCCAATTGAGTTTGATGAAAAGCTTCTTGAAGCAGCCCTTGAAGAAAATCCTGCTTTATCAGTTGAGGAATTGGCAGTGGTTCTCAGTTCAAACCATACAACATCGTCATCTTCAACAACTTGGAAAAGTCCCTAAACTTGGAAAATGGGTGCCTCATGAATTGTCTGAAAACAACCTCAAATCCCGAGTTGACATATGCTCTTCTCTTCATTCTCACCAACTTGTTTCACCTTTTTTGGATCACTTGTGACTGGCGACGAAAAATGGATCCTTTATCGAAATGTTAAGCGTCGTAGACAGTGGCTTGGTAAAGGGGAAGGACCCCAGCCACAGCCGAGAAGGGAACTTCATGGGCAAAAGGTTCTTCTTTCAATCTGGTGGGATCGCCAATGAATAATCCACTTTGAATTCTTACCACCTAATTCAACAATTAACGATCAAATATACTGTCAGCAATTAGAGCGTTTGAACCAAGCTTTGAGGAAAAAAAAGACCTGCTCTAGTGAATCGAAAAGCTCTCCGCTCTCCCACCAGCCAAGAAAATCCTGCCAACAGAAGATCAATCTGTTATCAACTCGCTGATTGGGACTCGTTCTGTGATTTCTTTCCTGAAGTCCCATGAAAAGAAGCTTTTAGTCATCCTGTTCAAAATGCGCATATGAAATCTCCTCCTATATGAAAACCGACATTGATGATTTCATTCCAGCAAGGAAATACCAAGGTAAAACGCCTTCACCTCCTTGGTTCTCACCTGCATACTCGGTCGCTATAGGCCCGGGGAATACCTTCTTCCGTCTGTATCAAAGTGATACATCTGATTGCAACAGACGTCTCCTTGTCTCTTCTCATAACGATTGCAACCGTGTCCTCAAGGAAGCGAAGTTACTGTTTTCTGATAGAATGAAACAACGTATAACATCTTGAAAGTTCGATTCCAGAGATTATTGGCGGCATTGCAAGAGTGTACTG